TGGGCCCGTGCTGAAGAGGTGACCAGCCAGAGCCCTTTGCCTGAACCATCCTACAGTCCAGGCACCTTGCCTGTTGGGACCTCAGGAAGTGTTGGGGAGCAAACATCGCCCCCTCAGCCTCCTGCAGAGTCCTCGGCGGGCAAGGCCGACAAGGAGCAGGAGGGCAGCCCTTACTGGACTTTCCGCCATTAGGTCTCGAAGCTTGACCCTAAGTCTAGGAGAAGTCTAAGGCTATGCTAATGGGAGTGCCGTCGTGCCTATGCTCGCCCAGAAGGGAATTCCCAGAAGGCGATAGGTTCATTCCAGAGGTGCCTCTCGACAGGCAGAGCTCGGTCTTGGGGTCAGTGACGGCCCAATAGGCACTCCAACAACCGTTGATGTTAATAATCACATAGACGATGTAGTAGGGTGAGATTGAGTAGGGGCCGTTGACTTCTTCGAATATTTGGTTTTGGGGTGAGCTGTTATTCCTTGCACGTGTAACAACTCATAAGAGGACGAAGACTAGTTTTCTCGTTGTTTCTTCGACGATCAAGTCAGTGATATACTTGAGAGGGAAAATGGTGAACTGTGGGAGTTCTCAAGTGTAGTAGAGTGGAGAAAAATTTTGAGAAAATTGCTTACTCTCGCATTGAGAATAGTTTTTTTTTTCTTATAGCCATGCAGGAGGGGCATTTTAGTCTTTTCCCGTCGAGTCTGAGCTGGCGACTGAGTCAGCGTCAACTTTACGCATGTCTCACATAATGAGCGCTGTCATTTTGGTATTAATGAGATGGGATAGGCGGCACACGAAGTAGACGTGGTCCGATGTGTCATAAATAGTACCAGGATGGAGAAAATATGGCGTATGCCAACCATTTAATGTGATGTCGACACGCTGTCAGCGAGAGGTTCGAGGTTGAAGTTGCTTTTTGACTTGTATCGAGGGGTGTCGAAAAGTAACGCCTTTCGAGTTTACCCAACGAGACGCTGACTAATTAACTGGTTGAGTTGTCTTGTAGCGAGTCGTCTTTAATGAGAGGACTGATAAGTACCGTTGTTCGAGTCGACCTAGCGAGATGTCGGCTCGGTGAGTCAGCCAGGTCGGGACTCTGGCTGTCCTATGTGTCGAGTTGACTGAATGGTGCGTGATGGAGGATATTTGCCTGTTATTGGCAAGGGGTCATAATTTGGCGATTGAAAACACCATAATAGAGAATAACTTTTTTTTTCGGGCGGCGGGGGGGGCGGGCGGGGAGGCAAGCCATTATGATAAACATTGCTCTAAAACAGATTCTAGTATTGTTATTACAGAATATGTATGAGGGGGGCAAGCATTATGACAACGATTGCTAAATGCAACACGTGAAACTGAACATTTTAGGCTTATATGTGATTGATTTCTAGGTAATGATGTAAATGATCCTCATATTAAAGAAAGAGAAATTGAAAAAGCAACCTTGGATTGATGCTTATATCAGTGAAAGAACTTCCATGATCCTTACATCAATGAGAGAACTTTCATGACATACATGCTAAATCATCAAGGAGTAACGTAAGATACGCGGATCTGATGGAGAGCGGCATTTTGGTGACATATGCATTTTAACTGATAGTCGATTTGATGTGGCATGTGATTTGGCAACATTTGATGTTTTTCAAATAACATGGTCCTTCAGAATTGCCTGATGATAGAATGATAAAGTAGTACCCAGTGGGAGTGGGATCATTGCCTACTAATTCCAGGCTGTCAAATTTTTGATTCCATTATTTGTAGTTCAGGGATTGGTTGTTGGAGAGGAAAAAGGAGAGCGAAAGCAGGAACAAGCTCCATTTTTGCTGGTATTATTGTCAAAATAAAGTTGGTCATGCGGTCAATTTATCTTGAATATTTCAAATTGCATAACAGATTAGTTTAGTACCAGGAGATGAGTCATTGGGAACTTTTGTGGACATTATACTGAATCAGGATGCCATTCCAATCAGTCAACACTAATGTCACCTTTAGCCATTTTTACAAGTCACCAGGCAATTTTCGATAACTTATGCGAAGTTTGGGCTTCGGCTTGGGCTAATTATTATCTATAATCATTAGTTTGTTTTTGTTGAAATAATAGGCTAATCTGACTACAAAGGCACTGCATAGCTACTATGTCTACTATACCAGTAATATATTCTAAATGGTTAAAAAGTTAACTCAAATAAGTATAGGAGAATAACAGTGACATGAGCTTTATCCGAAATGTCCTTTGGTGGACTATCAGAAGAAAATATTTAGGATCTGGTACATTAATTGTCTTATTTATTCAACTTTCTTAGTGGCGACTCATCTGTTAACTGCTAAATATTTAATATCCTCTGTTGCCTCAAGACATGTTCATTTAGGCCTACCCTACCATATTTGGTTTCCTTAATGGTCTCATTACACATTGAATGCCTGAAACAATGCCATCACTCTCCCTAATATTCTTTATCTGAGGCCATCTCTAACTTTTTATACATTCATTTCTTATCCTAATTTCAGTTGCATTCGCCACATCCTTTTCAATATTTCCATTTTAATTATACTCATATTTTTCAACTTGCTTCCTTAATTACAGTGTTTTTACATGTAAAACGAACTTTCACCAATTTCATCATTGCATTGAATTTATTTATCCTAAGGATAAATGTTTCTGGTTTCTTGGCATTTCTTGTCATTGGTTGATTATATACCTTTCCGCTTTAGAAGATATTATTTTGTCAGTCTGAGAATGACTGTCATAATAATGAATCTTTTCCCAAGGATGTTTTTTTGTCACACGAGAAATTTGAAAGCCTAATTTATTAGGAAGATCTTTATAATTTGCGCATTAGCTTAAAGCAAATGGAATAAGATATCGACAACTCCTTCTGTACCTAATGGATTTTGCAGAATATCTAATAATGGTTGTATTAAGTTGTAATCTGATTTCTAAGTAACCTATTCATTGTGGATGAAAACAGTATGTTGGTCAAACGCATGAAAAACATGATTTCTATTTGTATCCCCATCAGGTCCAGATGTTACTGTGACATTTTTATTCACAAATCTTCTGTCTCAATTTGTTTGTGTCTTGACTTTTCCTTGTGACAACTTGTATGGTCGCATATACTTGCTAGTTTTGTTATTGCAATTCGGCTGTGATGCTAGTCATATCACATTTCTTTTCCTTAGAATTGTGATTATTGTTATTGCTTATTCTTGTTCTTGAAGTTTGGGGGATGGCTGGATATGCATGATAGATTTATTTAATTATATAAGAACAAACTGTGTATGCTTATTCTTGAAATAGATGAAGGTGAGAACCATTTCAATTGCGTGGAGAGTTTTAGTGGTACATGGGACTGATGATTCATTCTTCATCTTTCAGTCTTCCTTTGGATTTGTTGATTACCATGATCGTAGGTCAGCAGCTCTTGCAATATCATCATTGCATGGGCGCCAGCTGTAAGTAACCTGAATCTGTTGCCACGTCTGACCTTGTTTAATCCATTTCAGTCTTCATTCTCTCTTAACTTTTCTGCAGGTATGGTCAAGCAATCAAGGTGAACTGGGCATATGCAAGTGGTCAAAGAGAAGATACCTCTGGTAAAATATAGATCTAACTTTAGATTTATGGCTTGCCATCTGCTATAAACAGTCTCCATTCTTTAGCATTTACTAGCTGCTTTTAACTCTTTTTTTTGGCTGCTCAGGACACTTCCATATTTTTGTGGGTGATCTAAGTCCTGAGGTTACTGATGCAACTCTATTTGCTTGTTTCTCAGTATATCCCAGTTGTTCGTGAGTTCTTTGATTCTGTGCCTATATTATGTACTTAATTCACTCATGAATGACATATTTTTAGATTATGTTACTTGACACTGGGTTCAGTTTTACAGTTCCGATTTAGACTGATGAATTCGCAAGTTTTCTCATATTTTTTCCATGAATTTGGTACACAGGGATGCACGGGTCATGTGGGATAACAAAACCGGACGTTCTAGGGGTTTTGGCTTTGTTTCCTTCCGCAGTCAGCAGGTATTTTTTGCTTAAGTACGGTTCTGTATCCTGGAAGCGGAAAATAGTATCATTAAGTTACAGATCATTTTATTGTCCCTCAAGCTACAGATCATTTTATTGTCCTTATTTGGCAGTCTCCGAATCTTGTTCTCTGATTGCCTAGAAATTTGGAAATAAGTTGCGTTAAATGGATCATCAGTAACTTCCTTTGTAAAATATCGTTCATCATAGTGGCTTCTTTGGTTTGTATAAAGGACGTTGTAAATCAATTATTTGTTTGTTCCAGTGGCTTAGCAACACCAGAATATATGTAAATTAGTAGCAAGCACAATGAAATATAGTGATGGGGGCAAACAAGCCTGTGAAAATCTCGCAAGCTACAATAACTTGCACAGTTTTCTCCTCATTCACAAAATAGGTGGAAAGGAGAAACAGTTACTGATAGTCTATTACATTGTCTTTTTTCAGGATGCTCAGAGTGCTATTAACGACATGCCAGGTAAGAAGAATTTACTGACGTGATAATGTTATTCATCAGACTGCTCTGATCTAGATGTTGTTTGCACTTCTTTCCCTTTTATTGATGGTATATCATGTTTTCCAGGTAAATGGCTGGGAAACAAGCAAATCAGATGCAATTGGGCAACTAAGAATTCGGAAGAGAAGTTGAGTAGTGATAATCAGAATGCAGTAGTGTTGACAAATGGAAGTTCTGCTAGCATTGGTGAGAAATACCCAGCTTGAATTATGTTTATCATTGGACACATTGTGCTAGTTCTTTGGTGGATGCTTTAGTATAGATACAAAACTGCAAATTTTCCCTACTATGATATTGAGCTGTAGGTTATGCATCATCTACTTCTGAATATGTATTTCCTTATTACAGCAGAGGGAAGTCAGGATAATTCAAGTGATGAGGCTCCTGAAAATAATCCTGCCTACACAACTGTATACGTCGGGAACCTGGCTCATGAGGTATATATACATTGTTTACAGAAAAAGGTTGAGAAAACGCTTCATAAAGATCTCCCTTCCTTTTCATGAAATCTTGCACATTTTCAGGTCACACAAGTTGAACTCCATCGGCAATTCCACAATCTGGGGGCTGGCGCGATCGAGGAAGTACGCATTCAGAGAGATAAAGGTTTTGGATTCGTGAGGTACAATACCCACAAAGAAGCTGCACTAGCTATTCACATGGCCAACGGAAAGATTGTATGTGGGAAATCAATGAAGGTAAGTTTTGGCCCTAATACTTCTTACTGCTAATTGCTAGAGAATAAAGACTAATCAGCCCCTAAGTTATAATCTGCTTTTTAAAGTTACACCTATGTTTTTATTTTTTGCAAATCAGCTCTCAACTTTTCCTTCTGTCTTCTTCCTTAAACCATCCCCAAGAACCCTCAACGAGGCAGGGGTATTGTTGCCATATTCTAATGTTTAACTCTTTTTCAGGGGAACTCCCCCGTAAATGAATAGATCACTTATATTTTAGTTCTGTTGATGATTGTGCCCTCGTCAGAATCAGTGACTGACATTGTTTCAAATGTTCATGGCCATGGTCTAAAGAAAGAAAGTTGAGGGCTGCTTTGCAAAAAATAGAGATATAGGGCTACTTAGACTTTGTTCTCCTAATTGTTACCTATAAACCCTAATTTGATAGTGACATTCCAGTGCTCATGGGGTACGAAGCCAACGCCTCCTGGAACAGCTTCGAATCCTTTGCCACCCCCAGTGCCACCGTTCCAAGTGCTACCAACTCCCGGAGTTCCTCAGGGCTATACAGCTGCAGAGCTTTTGGCATACCAGAGGCAGCTCCTATTCAATCAGGCTGCTGCTATGGCCGGTCAGCAAGTGTCAGGTGGGGTCATTTCGGGTGGGTCCCAAACTATGTATGATGGATACCCTAGTCATTCCTCAGCTCAACAGCTGATGTACTTCAGTTAATGTCCAGGTGAAGTGATCTGTTTGTATTAGCTTACAGTGTGTTCTTTATTCTCATTTCTCGGTGTTCTTTGAGTGTTTTTCCTCGTAAATTTGTTTCTAGGGTTATTCAGATGCTAGTCACTGAAATCTTCAATACTTCTATGTAAGTCCCTAAATTTTCAATTGGCCTTGCAAATTGGTCCCTCAATGACCAAAATACTCCCGGCTTATGTTTTTGTGAATTTAGGTTTTTGTTTTTCCTTGGGGGAAACATAGGTCCAGGGGTTTTTTTTGTCATTGAAGGAGCAATTTGCCCCTTTGGATTTTGAGGAATGAATGAGCAATTCCAAAGATTTGAGGGACTAATATAGAGTTACTGAAACTTTGAGGGACTAATATCCCTATAACTTTTGTTTTATTGTGGGTTTTTGACTTTCCTGAATGTTGTCTTGCTTCTGTTTTTAGGCTAGGCGGATGATGCGAGTCCGAGAGTGGATTCTTCTACACAGTAACTGATGTTCTTCAGTTGGAAGTCCAGGGGAAGTGAGGAGATCTATTCTATTTACTTGCGTTTCTTTATTCTCGGATTTCTTCGAGTGTTTTGATTCTGGTCACCTTGTTTTTTTAACATTTACTTGTGTTTTTGTGTTATTGGAGCCGGTATGGTTCCTGTACATGATTTTTATCTATGCTTCAAGTATCCTGGGTGTTGTCTTTAGCTCTTTGATCAGGACTGCAGCAGCTGATGTATCAACTTCTGTTTTTAGATTAGTGGAGTGATGAGAGTAGAGGTGTGGGAGGAGACAACAGTGTTTGGGTTTTTGCCAGTTTCTTCTGGTTTTGTATCTTGAATTTATGCCCCTCAAGTTAATTCTAGTTTCTTATTTCCGGCTTTATGGAAGTAACAATATCCCAATTAACGTCGGTGAGCAAGGTTCGATTCTTTTGGTGGTTGGGAGTAGCAGCTTCATCTTTGTTGGTTTCATGGTTGGCATGATCAGATTGCTATGGGTAGTTTGAGATTTGGTCGTCCATATGCATGCAGATTTCTTTGGTTCCTGTGTGTTGCTTACGTTTCTTTTGCTATCTGAATGCAATCCTCTCTTATGTGTTGAGAATTGAAAGTTGAGAATTGGTTGGGAAATTTGGGGACTAAAGAATTCAAAAAGAATACTCTGTTAGAAAAAGCAATTCTCTATCAAGATAGATTGCAGTTTGAACTTGCTTGTGGCATGTGGCCACCGGTTCTGAGCCCTTCGATGGGACAAATATGGGGGCAGAGTAAGAATTATGTCCCTCATTATATGGCTCAGAACGTGTTGGATAGGATTTTGCCCCTCATTATACGGCTCAGAACCAGTGTTATCCGTGGCGTTTCTCGTAAGCACAGAGGAAATCAAGTACATACTACTGTTAGTTACGGCAAATCAAATGAGTTCGATATCTGCCCTAGTGCATATACTTGCAATCGATGGATTTTCAACTGCAATTACTCACTTCCATCTATTTTCTGATTAAATTTTGATTGAAAAATCTCAAGATAATCCTTAAAGAAACGAGCCGATAAACATGTAAAAGTTTGATTTTCTGTACTAATTAAACTTATGGTTTTCGCGAAAATTTCCTTTATAACAACTACAATCGAAAAGGCCGTACTCACTAGTAACCAATCACGTACAACGAAAGATTTTTCTTTTTATTTTTTATTATTTTTTTAATAGAAGTATTGAACGGAAGTTTTTTAAAAAAAAAAAAAAAAGGAATCTATACAGTAGAGTTCTGAATCTCTCCAAAAAGAGGGGGGGGGGAAAAAAATTCAAAGATGACAGCAGGAAAGGCAGCAAGTATGCCGACAGCGAGTAGTAGTAGCAGTTGCCACGTCACCATCACCCACCTAAAATTCCAACGCCACGGCTTTGACCGCCCCCCCCTCTCCTCTCATTTGTCGTCTTCGTCTTCGATCGCTGTCCGAAAAATCAACCAATCGGGCCCTTTGATTCCCTCCAACGACCCGGTCGACCCGCCCCACCATTTTTTTCATTTATCCATCCATCTCTCTCTCTCTCTCCCTCTCTCTCTAATTCTTGATGGACAACGGAGGAGGAGGAGGAGGAAGGAGAGACCACGATTCACCGCAGCAGCAGAGCCTACTGGGTGGGTTTTTAGAAGGAACTGGAGGAGGTCGATAGGATGGAGCCCTCCTCTGCCGCTTGTCAGCTGTGAGTCCCTCTCCAACGCAATTCCAAATTACTGTCTTTTATTTTTTTTCCCCCCTTCCCCTCCCTGGTTTTGGATTCTCTTCTCCTGAGTAAATAAGCGGTGGTGGATACAGTTCATTTCAAAAAACAAACCATAATCGCCAATTTAGTAATAAACTATTATAATCATAATTATTATCTTTTGTAAAATTGTGACCGTAACTGTTTTTTTTTTGTGTACTTTTTGGATTGAATTCCGCAGAGTGATCGCTAGCACAGACGGTTCACCGGATCCTCTCCTGCCAGAGTAAGCAAAACCGAACAACCCCCACCCTCCTCCTCACCAACAGCAGCTCCAAATTTTGTGGGGGGGAGAAAAGAGACAGAGAGAGGGGGAGAGAAAACTCAAAATTTTCATTTGTTTTACAGAACTCGAGGCCCCGAGGACGAGGCATGGGACAGGTGGTTCCAGCGCATCCGCAGCTCCCGTGGTCACAAATGGTGAGAGCACGAAGGCTGCGGCTGCAGTCGCGACCGCAATGTCAATCGATACGTGACGCTTTTGCTAGCATATCTAACAATGCTTGTATTCTCGATGGCGATAGGTATTCTTTCAAGCGGAAAATGTGAGGAGGTGGCCGATCCCTAGCTGGCGACGGAAGCAGCCTGAGGAAGAGCCGGAGTTTATCGCAAGCTCCGAACGTGGCCTTCGGTGAGATTAGCCAGTGTTCATATTTTTTGGGTTATTTTTGCTTGTTCCACATTGTGTAATCTAGCCCTTTCAATGTAAAACTATGAATGAGCATGTCTTTAGGTATCTTCGTTGCCAATGTTTTGTGGGTATTATATACGCCGATGATTAGAGTCGTTGGGTCTCATTCTATTTAATCTAGATCAACATTTTGACATGATATGTTCGCTGAAATCAGATACTAGGATTAATGTAGTGAACCTAGTGATACTATGAATAAAATAGCCAATAAATACCTGATGATACTATGCTCAAGATGATCCTGGCGAATAATATAGCTACTTTAACACCCCATCGTTAACAGAATTTTAGAATGCATTGATACTTTTTCGACGGTATCATCTATAACGCAAACGCCTGTTCTAGACTCAGATATCTAGATCACGTACCTTTGTCCGTCAATGATGTACGAATTAAGTATGCGCCACCAATTTCCTAGAATATCTCTAGTACCCTACTGACCAAGCTACTAGTAAGTCTGTGGCATCAAGAACTAGGTTTCGTCGATGAGATAAGGTCGCTTGAGCTTGCTAAGTTCAACATAATGGGGATTTTACTCACCAATGTCATCTCCGCACACGCTGGAGATCAAACCACAATCTCCCAACATGACAATAACGATAGGAATTAAGAAGAAGAACATTGAGGTTTTATATCATTCGATCGACCAAGTTCAACCAACGTCCATGGGGTACAATATGAAATCCTCTATGTATGATGGAGAACATTATCAGAGGAATCACTCATCTTTCTCAGTCTCTCAACCTCACATATTATAAAGAGCCACAATCTCATATCCTCTCCATTGCCCTTACCTCATCCTTGATTTACATACAGAAGACTATATATAGAGAAACCAAAGCCCTATCTCTAAACTGACTTGCCAATTTGAATATGACATAAATTTCCTATCATGATGAAACTTATAATCTCCTAATCATGATAGTCAACCTGTGCTAACTACATGAAGTTATACAAAGAATCAAAGACTCAATCGCAACAAAGCATACATGAATTTATCTGAGTTGCTTGCAGTATTGCTTGTGGTTGCACAACAGAGACTGTAATAGTAACAACAAAGTAGTAACAAGAACAGAATCTATCAAAATTTCAGGTACTCATTTAGGATACCAAAATCGCTCCAGTTTTCTCGGCTGTATGAAACCTATGTAAGTATCATATGTATCCATCCTATCAAAAGATAATATGTTGCAAAACTCAGAAAACCCATGATGTAAAATAAGGGCAACACCGCCATTTTATTTAATTCGAACACCCATTTTTTATTTTTTTCCCCTCCTCATTTGTTTCGGTTTATGTATACTATAATCTTGTAAAAGATGCTTAAGCTGCTGCAACACCAGCACCAAATGGTAAGGGAGCAAGATAGGGGGAGAGAGGGGATTCATGAGGTTTCTCTGCTTTAGACCAACATTTTTCTTTGCGTTCATCGCTCAGAATTTGCTTGCATCTGCACTCCACACTGCAGAAGGCTTCGTCTCCTCTGCAAAATTAGACACCAGACAGGAAAGGGGAGAAATATAAGTAATCTATCGAGAAATCCATGATATTCCGAATAGGGTAGATTTCACAAAAGTATAACGAAAAATACCATTTATTACTGGAAAATTGTTACTATTGGCATTAATGTCTTGGATAAAAAAAGTCAGAGGTATCCTTATTTCTATCTGTCAACCCACGAAGTTCTTAAGGTAGTATATGGAATATATATCAAGTATAGAAGGGCAAAATTGTCCAAGACATGTCAAGTCCGAACAATTTGCCCTAAACTGTTGTCGGGCATGGTAGTTTAGTGAGAAAAAAGAAAAAAAGGAAAAGATTCGTGATGGTTTTTTTTGGGGAAATTTAGCCTTCTGAATATCACAAAGGCAAACAAACAGTACTTATGATAGTCTGTCTAGAATATCCTTGTACATTAACAAGGGCATAAAAAAAAAATACTTGGGCAAGAACCACAGCAATGGTTTCTACTTATTAATCATAAAAGAATATTTGGGCAAGAACCACAGCAATGGTTTCTACTTATTAATCATAAAAGAATATTTGGGCAAGAACCACAACACCAGTTTTCTATTTATTAATCATAAAAGATGACAAATAACAAATATTTTGACATACATATAACATACATCATCTGTGACTATGTAGATAAAATGGTATGTAAAAGAGTATATTTGTCCACATGCGCACACCTAAGATGGATGGAGACGTCTAACCTACAAGATATAATAAAGTGACACGACAAAGTTCTAAAGTAGCATATATGAAACAGTAAATACATGCCAAGAAGTACATATATAGTGCCTGTAATAGATAGGCACATCCACATGAGCATATAATAATGCATATACACATGAGCAAATATCGCAGAATTAATGAAGAAATGACACCAAAGTACTCTCTGGACAAGGGAAAGCACAGGGGCATATATTTTGTGGCTGATAACTGTCAAGCACATGGTGTGTCAAAGAAAATATAGAAATTATAAGAGAAACAATAGCATAAGCATACTCATTGCATTTTTTTAAGGGAAAGAACCAAATCTACTTTATTTTTTTTTTGAGAAAAAATCTACTTCATTATTTTGACAGGCTTTAGGAACAATTTTAGTTAGTTAATGGACACGAAAGAGAACTTGACAACTAAAATTGTGACTTGAAATGGACAAGTATATAAGAACGCATAAAGTTCTCTAAGATTGTAATCTTGGGCCCTCAGTTACACCGGTATACAAGTATGTGTAAGGGTGCAGGACGGGACACGATAAATTTGTAAAAGGTAGGGTACGGGGACACGGCTGAAACTCGTGGAATACGATCACAGTTCTGAGCGTATATGTAACCAACCCTTTTAAATTGTAGCTCTTAAGGTTGAAATAAACTCGACTCTTATCCAATAAGTTACAAAAATAGATGTGTAGGACATAAATCCAAGAAACGAACGACGAGTGTTTTAAATTAAACATGCATTGTATGGTTGAATACAGGTCTGAATAAATGTATGCATATATTTAAGGAGTGTCCAAGAAGTGTTAGGTACAGTTACGGGTATGGGTGTAATGTGTGTCGGGAATTGGTATGGCTCCATATTGGAAGTACCCAGGTAACATGTTAGGTCAATTACTTACTGAGTTTATCAACCTAAGCTATTTAAGTTTCCTCAAAAGGCAAATTTAGTAAAACATGTGAGTTGAAACCAAGAAAACAGAACAACTCTTTTAAGTTGTATCAAATCTTTAAGGGTTAATTGCAGATGGAACCCCTATATTGACACCCAATTGTGGGTAGAACCCCCTACAGTTATATTGTTCCAAGTAAACCCCCTAAGTGAATTTTTTAACTTGTTTACCCTTTGGAGGTCTATACACACACACACACACACACACACACAAACACACACAATGATGTTAGCATATCAACTATATATTAGTAATCATAGACCATTTCAAATATATGTTCTCACTTGTCAGGTGACTCGGTAAAAGAAGCTACAAGTTGAGATGGCTTTAAAAGGAAATTTTATAACAGAATCATGACATATGAATTACATAATCAGAATCAAGACAGGATTTCCACCAAATATGAATATATTCATATTTCCCTTTATGCACATTGCCTGATGCTCTTCTAAAGTTTTTTCCCCCTCCCATTCTTTCTTATTGGCTTATTTTTATCAGTAGATACGTGATGCTTTCAGTGATTATATACCATTAATTTGTAACTATAGTTAAACATGGGTCATTGTATAAGATCAATTGCTTCAGCCTCAGAATCAAATCCATTTACCCATTTTCACATCAAAAACTTTTTAACGC